TTTTTTTTTAACAAAGTTTCTCTAGGAATGCCTCGTCAGTGCTGATGGTACTATGGACTCGCGGCACTTCAATGTTTTCTTTGCCACCTACAGAGCGTTTGCAGAGCCGATAAATGTACTGGACAGGTGTGCAAATTCTTGACTAATTACGTCAAATGCCTATAAATATTTACATTTGTGAGCTACACCTCATTCACACTAGAAAGTTTACTTATCACTTTCTAGGTTGTTGCGTCGCTACGAGTCGCTTGAGAACGAAGTAAATTCGAGCACATCCGCTCTTGTTATACAAAAGTAGGTTTTTTCGCCCTTGTCATATATGGAAGCATTATGATCTGAATCTTAGCTCCATCCGATCGATACTGATCTGTTGGTTGGACATGTACCCAGAAGACTTTTACGATCCTGACTGTGACTTCTCCATGCTCACCAATTTGCTGGATTTCGGTCAACGCAGCCGATTATCAGATCTGCGAGCGAAATCGAGGAAGCTTCTGGAGCGCTTCAAGCATATTCAAGAAGAAGGCGGGATGATAGGTATGTAGATTTCTTGCAGCATTATTCTGTGCTTCTGATATTTGTATAATCCTAACAATCCTAGCCGCACTTCCCTCTTTGGATCAGCTTGCCTCTGCCTTCGGCTACGATGCATCGGAGTACTCCAGGAATCCACAAGAGAGGTATCTTAAGATTTGCATTTTGAACTATAGAGTAAACTAGCCGACCAATAAATTCGTTGCACGTACTTGCAGAGTAAAAATGTTCGACGTGGGGAACGAGAATTGTGTGCAAATTGCTGAGCAGCTGACGTTCTGGGATGCGGTAAGTTTTTCTGCTACGTTGCTGTAGGCCACTTTTTTTACATTGATACATATCACAGGAGCTTTTTCGCGAACTCATTATCCATCAATGCCAAGGATGTGTGTGGTCGAAAAGGCATAGGCTACCGAATGAGAAAGTATACACCGTCAAAGCAACCATAGATCAGGTATTAAGTTATAAAATATGGTTAATAATGGCGTTCATTTTGTTGGTGGTGTCGCGGTTCGATTGCAGTACCTTTCAGTTATTCTTTTGGTCCTTCAAAGAAATACTGTTATCTGACTGGCATTCTTTTCAAATTTATGTCATCTGTTACATTTAGTGCAGGACCGCTGCTCGGGTCAAATGCCTTTTACTATTCTGTTTGAGGCGAAATTCTAATTGGCCTAAAACCTTACATAAGTCCCTTTTTTGGCAAGGAAAATCGATGAAAATGCACGCTTGCG